TAAATAAATAAAATCTTAAAAAAAAAAAAAGGAAGACCCAACCATCAGGTGGAGTGAAAGGGAGTGAAAGGCGGCCGGGCACGGGCCTACCCGTAGATGTCCAGGACGCCGATGAAGGAGTGCTGCTTGAGGTGTGTGTGCAGGGCCTTGTTGATGTGCTCCACGATCCAGCCGAACAGCTGGGCGTAGATGTGCTTGGCGAGGGCGCTGCGTGCGTTGAGCACCTGCTGCAGGGACATGCTCTTGACATAGGTCTCGGAGGTAGTGACCAGCTTGCGGTGGCAGAGCCAGTGCTCCATCTGACTGTGTTCCACCCCTAGCAGTTGGCAGAAGTTGGTCAGGTGCTCATCCTGGGGCTGGAAGAGACACGGGGGATGGTTTCAGGAGGGGGGCGGAGGGCAAGCCCGCCACCGTGCCCTCTCCGCCCAGGGGCACAACGAGCCCGCCCAGCACCACAGACCCAGGCTATCCCTAGCCGCGGTGCTGGGCAGGCTGACGCACTCTCACACCAAGTGGAGGGACAAGCGAGCCCCCCAAGAGTGTTGCTCCAACTGACCATTACACCAAATGATCAGGGCTTTAAGAAACAATAGCTTTCTCAACTTTCCCTCTGCCCTCCTCCACTGCCGGCCAAGTCACAGGCTAGGGAGAACTCCTTGAGTGAAGGGAGCAGAATGAGAATTGATGACTTGGGGATGGATAAATCCATTGAGATAAGGAGCCAGAAGGCAGCAGTAATCGTACAGAGCCGCAGACGCAGGATCACAGTAAATGTGCAGTTTCCTTCTGCGGAGTCCCACATGCAGGGCTGAGCCCACAGCCCGGAAGGAAGTCCTCACGTGCAAGCATCACCCTTGACCGGCAGCACCCGGCCTAACAGCTGTATGCTCTGAAATGAATGCACAGCTGAACCAATGGGACAGCCTTCCCCACACTGACATGCACTGTTCCAAGCCCACTTTCCTGCACCTTAGCCTCAGTGATATTAAGTAACACATACTTGGTGTTCTACTCTTAAAGCCCTTGCTGTCTGGGGAAAGAAGCCAATCAACGTGGAAATCGAGGACAAACGGCAAGAATACAGAACAAACTCGGACCCGAGAAGAGCCATTTGGAACACTGCAACTGGTAACACCACCCTTTTAGAGCTAGAGGGAAAACTAGGAATTCCTCCTCCTGAAAACCCTTCTCTATAGAGGTAAGCAGTGCCTTCCGCCCAGCATACACAGCTGCTTCCAATCTTGACCCTCATTTACCCAAAATACCTATCATACCACCTGGTCTTCCGGTCCTGATAAGTGCATCACCCACAGGTCTTAATTTCACCCACATGTGTAAGTCAGATACTCCTTTTCACTCAGGGCACCCCACAAAAAAAACCCCATTGTTCGCTCCCTTGTCTAAATCCACCCCGCCCCCCCGGGAAAGCTGATTACCCAGCCACGAGCCTGCTGGATTGCTTATTAACTCTCAGGCAGAAAGGGAATTCTTCAGAACATGATGTGCTACCTTCTATAATGGCCCTAAATTGCCTTTGCTGTGGGACTCATTTTCTGATGAGGCTGCCTTGTAGGATTTAAATGAGAGTTTAAGTGTTCAATGAAAATTAATGCAGAGAACTGTACCATTTCCCCCTTAACACCATTTCCCCCCCAGCCTTTTCTTTTTTCCTTTCTTCTACAGATATTTAAAATCCATCTACCCAAAGCAAACACAATTACAAAATAGAATGTCAGAGTAGGAAAGAACCTCCCAGGAAGGCCAGTGTTCTTCCAAAATGTGGTCTGTGGAACAACAGTTACAGAGCACGTTAATGGGCTTTACCTAACCAACAGGGGCCGAGGGACGGCACCAGGTTAGACGCAGCTGAGCTGGGCTGTTAACAGATCCTGAAAGCACCAAGAGACATTTTATGCAGCATTTCCTGAACTTAATTGACCAAAGAACCCTTTTAATTGTTTGATGTAGTGTTCCATAATTCATTGTTAGCGTATAACACCCAGTGCTCCATTCAGTACGTGCCCTCTTTAATACCCATCACCAGGCTAACCCATCCCCCCACCCACCTCCCCTCTAACACCCTCAGTTTGTTTCTCAGAGCCCATAGTCTCTTAAGAAATTGCCTAGGGCTAAGGTTCCCAGGAAAATTCTTCGGGAATCATCATTCTAACCCTATCCCTTTTGTTTTTCAGATGAAGAGAATGAGGGGGAGGGAGGCACCCCTGACTGTGGCCCAGAGCTCCTAATCCAGCTGGGGAAGAGAGTCAGCCTGGGCTGGGTGGGGAGGGGGAGGCCCTCATCTTCTCAGCACGTGGGGGCTGCCTCAGCTACTTGTCCTGACCGACAGAAAATTTCTCTCTGCAGCAGCCCAGCCCGAACCTGCCGGCCTCCTCACCCCAAGAGAAAGCCATACGTAGCAGTGTTAAATGCCTGGGGACTGCTTGGCACGCAACAGGTGCAGGGGCGGCAAAAGTCCAACTTCTTAATCTGACCTACTTCCAAGAAATTCTTAATTGCTCAGCATAGCGTTGCAGCTGGATTCCCTGACCTGTAGATGGCCTGCTAGCAGCCAACACGACCGCTCGAGTCTTGCCCCCTGGAGCCCTGCCCCCCCCGGCACCTCCCCGGTGAACGCAGCCGAGACAGAACCACAAGTTCTGGAAGGGTTTGATAATCACCTCAGGACAGGTTCCCGGCTGCTGCAGGGGGATGTGGCTCGCCCCTCTATTACCCTCTTCTGACTATTGATGACAGGTGCTAACTGCGACTGATTTAACATCATGCAATTACATTTAAGCTTAATTAAATGATGCTAAATCCATTCAAAATCCCCAGTATCACAGGTAGATTAGAGTCTATGGGCCCATATTGCCAAATTCAAGAAACAAATTGCCTCTGGTGTCCAAGTGATTGCACGCTGCTGCCTCTCCAAGGTAACTCTGGCAGTCATGAACACCGTTTCATGCTTTAATTAAAAATCAAAACTACCGAGCAGAAGGCATACCGCGTATGGACAGACAGCCTTTCCAGCAGGAGGCCCACCCTCTGTACCAGAGGAATAAACCAAAATCCATTTGAGAGAGACTTTCACTAGCAACCACTTAGTGAAGCGCTTCCTGCGCACACACTGTGTGCCCAGCACCGGGCTAGGCACCTGCTGGGGGACGTCAACACGGGGAAACCGCCCTGGCTGGGGCCCGATGTGGCCCTTAACTGTCATTATGGTCTCTCTGGGCCTTCATTTTCCCCAAGCCTGTGAAGTAACAGGGATGCCTGCAAGGTCCGCTCTGCCTCCAACAAGGCTGAGTCAAGAATGCAATCACGTGAGCCCTGGGCTAAGGTAGGTAATATCAGCGCCCACTCCACAGATGAGGAAGCAGACTTGGAAAGGTTAACTATCTGGATGCCTGGGTGGCTCAGTCAGTTAAGTGTCTGCCTTCGGCTCAGGTCATGATCCCAGGGTCCTGGGAGATATCCCACCCTCAAGACCATTTCTCTTTCAGGGAAAATATATGGGGCAAGGGCCAGGGTCCTCTCTCTACAGGCAGGACCAGTTTCAACTTCTGATAAGCCCTAACTCCAGGAAAACAGCAGGAGGTTCATAATTATTTGTTCGATTGAAAAAGCATTCAGTTGTGAGTGGCATGGACACAGGCCCACATTCATATCCTATAGGATTGGCTTCTGTCTTTTCCCAGAATCGGGGTTTCTAAATTCTAAGTCATTGGGAACAAGAATCATCGTTCGTACCTCCCCAGGACTTAGAGTCCAGGTGAGAACACCAGGTTGGACGTAGCAGGACACAAAGAGCAGAGAGCACATCCCAGCTGCTGTCTATAGGACCACACGTCTCCAAGGTCTCTCACATCTACCCACTTAGACACTCCTTACCTAGCACATGTCTGGTGCTACATTGGGCACTGGGAAAATAACAGTCCCTGGGAGCATTTATGGAGTAATTCACAATTTGCAATACTTTCACAGAGATGTCTCAATATTCTGCATCATACTGTCAAAATCTTGCCAAGCGGGGTCATCTTTTGGCTACCCAATTACACTGTAAGCTCCTTGGAGACAGTCACCAAAAATGGTGTCCAACGCTTCATCTCCTTGTTGTGTGGACCTCAGTTGGGAGCTCAGAAGATATTCATGGATTGAGAACACTCTGTAGAATTCCATGGACCTCAGGGTACTTGGAAAAGCAATCCATAAGAAAAAGAATGTATTTAATAGCCACTAAATTCCCTGCCCTTGGTGATAGAAATTTGATGGCAGCTGATTTGAAAAGGATGTGTTCTTATAAAAAATTATCAGCAAGAGAACAGAAACCAATACTGTTAAGAATAAATAACCTATGAGTGTCCTCTGAGTGTAAAGACACATTTCAGTTGTATCAAACTCTAAGAGCTGAATAAATTGTGTGTGTTTTATCTTGGGTGCTGGTGTGCGACTTACTGATACACTACAGGAATCACCATCACGCTCAGCCTGAATCTCCACGTTTCCGAGGTGCAGGATAGAAGCAATTATCTTAAAAATGCTTATCTGATGGGACTCTCTCACTCCTGGGGGGAAAAAAAAAGAATGACACTTAGCATCCATGGTAGGATAGAAAGGACATTTTACCCTTTTTTTAAAGGACTTTTAAAAAAAAGTTTGATTTTTCCTTTCTGGGCCAATGACTCCTAAAACGATCCAGGCTCCTCACCAAGTAATTACCACTGCATAGTAACAGCTCAGAGGGCAAAGGGGCTCCCCAGACTAAAAGGGAAATATCCTCACTCTGATTGTCCTGATCAAACCAGATGGGTTATGCTACCATTTTAACTTCTCCAGGAGCAAAGGAGAGACAGCAATCATGCAGACTCATTTTAAACTTCATTTCAACCAAATACTTTATGGATGTTTTTATGAGTTTAATAAGAATGGTCATTTATCTACAGCCATTTCTCTCTGAACACAATAACCAGCAAACATCTGTGTCCCACATCCGAAGTGCCAACTGGGGAGGAAGAGGAGGAAGTTCTGGGAGCACTGCTGGCGGAGATGGACAGCCAGCTGGCTCTCGGCCACTGCCGAACGGGGCCACGCCCCACACTCCCTCGCAGGGACCGCCACGCCTGACCTTGAACTGCTGTGGGAGCGAGCACCTACTTCCACAATGACTTGAGCACATAAATCATCAAAGACATGGATCATCTTGTACAGTTGATATTTAGCTTTAAGACATCATCATTTCTTTCTGAATTGCAAAAGATAAGACCTACAGAAAAAGGCTACAGAGTAATAGGACACCAGTCACCCTACCACTCAGTTTAAGAAATAATGCAGTGGTCCCCCATCTTTCCCTCCAGCTGCAGTTATTTTTAAAGGCAATAATTTACAGTCTTAAAAAAAAAAAAAAAAGTCTGACACCTGTATAACTAGGAGATAAGGATGGACTATACTGGGATTAAAAACTATCCACAAAGTGGACAACCCAAGCGTGAACTAGACAAATTAACTCTCGAGTTTGCTAATGACAGAGGACTACTACTGCGTAAGCTTCATAGGAGCTGGGATTTACTTTTTAAATTTGTTTTAAGTTTTAAAATATACAAAGAAATAGCAATATAATGAATCCCTGTTCTTGCCTTGGCAGATAGGTGATCAGAAACCCAAATAATGGAACTGCACTGATGACGGTTACATAGACTGCAAATGTGTACAGAAATGCACGAGCCGTTCAAATATCTGGTTTTGTTTAATCTAATTAAAAAAAATAAACAGCTGGAGGCCAAAAAATTTAGTGTAACTGAATAAGACGGAAAAAAGGAAGACCGGTTCAAGTCAGAGGTTGATACCCCCAGACAAGACAGGGGGCTTGGTGGTGGTACCCCCGTGTGGGGAGTAAAGTACTGGGCTTTCGATCAGAGCTCAGTGGGTCCTGCTCTCAAATAGGTCCTACTAGTCAGGAAGTGGGTTTTGGACCATCCCAGGAGGGACAGATCACTTTTCTCTCTCCTTCACTTTTTCTTGGGAACGAATGCTTTGTCATTTCCAAAGCCTTCACCACACTGTCATGGTAGGAATTGAAGTAGTACACCTTGAATGACTACTGAATCCTAACAATAGTTAGGATGGCTGCACTATACTGGCCAGAAAGCCCCTTCTTTATACACTATCCTAATAAGCAGTACCTCGCTATGACAAGCAAAAAACCAAAAATCAAACAAACAATAAAACTGAAGGAGTAGAGCAGGGGTTGGCAACCTATGGCCCATAGCCCACGGCGTATTTTTATGAATAAAGTTTTATTAGAAGAGTCATGCCCATTCATTAACGTTCTGTCTATGGCTACTTTCACACAACAGTGGCAAAGCGGAGTAGCTGCTTCAAAAGAGCGCATGGCTCAAAGAGCCCCAGTTATTTAGAATCTTTAAGAAAAAGTGGGAGTAAAAAAGCGGATGTGTTTATTGAAGAGTAGGGAAGAAAGGCTTATTTCAATAGATTCTCCAATGCCATTTGCTTTGTGAATGAAAGCACCCGGCCTCCTTGAGCCTTGGAGGGAACCGCCTGCTCCTCGGATCAGCGCCTGCCCACTGCTCACAGCAGACTCCAGGGGCCTCCTTCCTGCCTCCGGTCAAACTGGGCAGACTGTTCCCCTGCTTGGCAAGTCCCCTCCAAATCTGCTCCCCAACTGAATAAAATGATTATGGGACATTGGAGAAGTCAGGGGTGCCAGTTATCAATTTATTATCTCTCCGTTTACAATCCGCCCCGCTTTGGGGTACCGGAGCGAGACCTGGTGAACACTTCTCCTTTGCCCACTGGTGGAATGGTCAGCTTGGTCAAAGAGCACTGTAGTGACCGAGCCGCAAGAGGACATGCGTGTTCTTGGTTCTGGTCCTCCACAGTTCTGACTCATCGTGGACGAGCCACCGCGGTGCCCTCAGGCCATGCTCTCCTCATTAGCAGCTGCTTCGGAGACTTTCTGGTCCCCCCACATGCTGTGGCAACTGCAGGTTGCCTTGCAGACCAGCAATGGCCCACGCCCTCTGGCAGGATTCTTCACCGGCAGGCTTCCTACTCTGTGGTAACCACATGTTCCCAGAAGTGGCTGAGATCTCAGCCAGTCAACAGTTCCTTTATCAGCTGCTCTTCCTTGCCCTTTTGCACCTGCTACTTCTGCACCCCTCAAGTCCTCTTATACCCTTTTTATAATCATCAACTACTGCTCTAGTTGATATTTTTCACTGGAATAACCAGTGTGGCTTTTAGGTCATTATTTCATGGGTACAAAAGACAAAGTATTTCTACCCACCGGTTATCCAGAGACATGAAGAGCACTCAGATTTCAGCCCATGGAACCCTGTGTCTACCATACAGAGATTAAGGTGTGTCTTGCTTGGCCATGTTTTATTTGGACATTGGGTAAGACTGCCCAGATTCCCACCAAAGAACCTAAGAAATGCGGCTCTGAAGTAGTCACATGACTCAGAAGGCAGATGTCCACCTCTGTCAGAGAAGGGGCTGGGGAAAAATAGAAGGGCTGTCCTGAGCTGCTTCCTGAGTTTCAGGCTGACTTCCCAAGCTTTGTTTTTTCTGGCTGCAGGTTCCAGGAATTAACTCATTCAATTTCCCAGTTAAGGCAGGCTTGCCTTCCACTTTACCACTTAGGTTCCTCTTCCTCAAAAATGGTGGTGGGGGGGGGAGCGTTTTCTCTCACTCTATTGCCCTTTATGCCCAGGAGGACATTTGATGTTAGCCAAAAGGCTGAGTAGCAATACCAGAAGGACAGAGAGATCTTGAATTCCACGGTTATGCTCTCCGTGGAAAAAGTGGTAACGGAAAGGACACTGTATATGTGAGAATGCTACCAGACCTTCATAGTCTGCTTCCAACTTGGATCCCAGGACATTGGTACATGGGTTGGTTTGGTCCTAAAGACATGCTTTTTCTGCTAGAACACATGGCCTCCAAACCCAGCCCGCAGCACAAGAAGATGTGGCTTTCTCCTTTTGCTCCACTGGCTTCAATGGCCTGAGGAAGTGGAAAGGGCCACTTTGCAGTGCCTAAGAGCATGACTCTCAAACCTTACTTTTAAGACAGATCAACAAAGGTACAAGTCTTAAACTCTGGAGTCTGAGGGTTGGGATGGAGTAAGACAACATTCACCAAGGGCAACAGGGCTTCTCATGGGCTTACGAAAGTTGGCAAAGCAGGACACTGTCGTGCTTTTCTACTCTCCATGAAGTCAACTGTCTGGGCCTTTTCCCACTCAGAAGCTGCTTACCCAGGAGTGTGAAGGCTTGTCGTGTCTTCTCAAAGTCCTCAGCATCATCTATACCTTCAATGCGTGTGTTTCCTCCCTGCGAGGTATAGAAGAAGTCCTCTGCGCACGCTGTGGGAAGTGAGGAGGAAAGGCATCAGGCATTGGAGAGAAGCTCCATCCCGGTTTACCCACAGATCACGACGCATGAGGATTTCTACTCATCCCAGACCAAAATTTTATTCCCAGCTGGATGTGCAACCCTTATAAATTATCTTTACTGACAACGGCAAATGGAGAGAAAACTGGATAAGGAGACACAGAGCATTACACTATGCTGACAGAATGCATTGCTGTGTTTGTATAAAACCAGTATGTGAAAAACACGTGAACGTAAAAAGTCATAGGTGGTTCAGTTTACATGATTCACCACAGACTTGCCTTTAAAAAGGATGTGAGGGGCACCTGGGTGGCACAGTCAGTTAAGCATCTGACTCTCGGTTTCAGCTCAGGTCATGATCTTGGGGTCCTGGGATCGAGCCCCATGTTGGGCTCTGTGCTCAGGGTGGAGTCTGCTTGAGATTCCCCCTCTGCCCCTGCACGCACTCTATCTCTAAAGTAAATAAATCTTAAAAAAAAAAAAAAAGATCTAATATACAGTGAGATGTACACCTACCCTAGAATCACAGACTTCCGTAACTGTTGATAAGCTTAGTATGACCACCTTACTTGACAAAGGAGAGGCACTGATGTGCCCAAGGTAACATGGTTTTTTGTTCATTTGTTTTACCAAGTTAGGGCACCCCTGAATTCCTCAGGCACGTGAACAGATGCAAGTTGAGACCCTCAAATGTTTGTTCTCACCTCCAGCTCAATTCCTCTCAGTCAGGCCTCTGATAACAGCCTGGGGGACAACTGGTTAGGAGGGGCCCCGGTTCTACCTTAGAATTCAGAGCCAACCTTAGCAGAGGGCAACAATGCACCAAGACCCGGGTAGCATCCACGCGACAGGCTTGGAGGTCGGCATTCAGGGCAACAAGTGCACCTAATCAAAATTCTCCCCCCTCCCGAAAATAACATTTTCCACAAAATACAGTACCTTTGTGTAATACAACCCCGCCCAATGTTCAGAATTTCTAAATGTATGATGTTTGATTTTGACAAGACACCAAAGCTGGACACTGATGTTGTTCTTCTCCTGTAAAGACTAGTAAAATTATTTCCCCTTGTGTGCATGTGGTAAAACACATGTCAGTTCAACATGCTTAGATACAATTTCATTGCAATGTCCAGTCTTCCTTCAACACCTTGATCTGCCCCTGTGACCCCTCACGAACTTCTCGAGTCTCCTTCCTTGCTCCACTCCGACTACCGCTGCCCATGTCTGATGTCCAGCATACATCTGTTGTCCGCGGACTGTTGCCAAAGACTAAACCCGTCTTCCTGCTCCTTCAAACCCACTTTCACACTGCTGGTAACTCTGATCACACTGCACCCCCATTTAAAGCCTTTTAGAGACCCCCTCCCGCCCCAGTAGCCTCAAGACAGAGGTCAAAGACCCTCAAAGAACCTCCTGGGCCCTTTGTGAAGCAGCCACGCCCCTTGCCCCTCCAGACTCAGGGCTGGGCCTTCCTTCCCCATCTCTTGTCCCTGATCCACCCATTTCCTTACCGTCATTCCTCAGCTCTACCCACACACCCCCCTCCACCCCCCATAATCCAGGCCCACAGAGGCCCCGCCTACCTCTCCTTTCTGGTCTCTTCCATTTCCCACCTTGCATCCTCTGCTCCAAGCCACACTCCTCCCGTAAGTGCACACTGCCAGGCCCAGCTAGGAAGTGGCCCAACTCAGACCCAAACCCTGCCTCACACAACCCGAGCTAGACCATCAGGCTACACTGCCCACAGGCATGGAGAGCAGGATATCAGCCGTAGCTTATGAGGGAAGGCTTCCTGGAGGAGGAACCCAAACCCTGAGGACTAGAGGCACTTGAGCAGGGAGAGGAAGGACTTCAGCCCCAGGCTCGCAGACAGCCACAGCAAAGGCAAATGGTTATGAAGGAAGTCACGCAGGTCTCTGTGGAAGATGCTATGTTCAGCTCTTTTATATAGAACCCTCCCCCACCCCCACCCCACGAGCTCTGGCACAGAAGAGTTTCGAAGGCTTAAGAAAAGCATTTTTCCTTTTCACTCACCTTTCAAAGTACTTCCTTCGATGATTTTTGCAGGGTCCACATGAAGATGACAATTTATTTATTCCTATTTTTCAGCTAGGCAAACTGAGGAACTAGGCTTTGAAGGGATTACCCAGGCTCTCCCAGACTTTGGCCAGCCTGGGAGCCCATTACTTGATCACCCTATTGTGGAGATGTTGTTTATGACATGGTTTTGCCATAAACACAACCTAACTCGTTATCAGAAGCTCTCAGCTGACACACCAGAAAAATACACAAGGCACCAGACCTCCCTATTGGAAGAGAGGTGGCATTTTCAGCGTCTACCAAGACCCCTTCATTGTCAACAGCCAGGGCCCTCCTGCCTGATGTTCTGAGTCAGACTGATCACCCACCTTCCCCACTGCTAGTTCCCAAATTTGGGCCCCACAGGGGAACTTCCTCCGGCTGGGGCCCACCCGGGTCAGTCACAGCTTCACTCTACTAAATGATCTGAATCCAACCGAGATCATCATCTCCTTTCAGGTGTGCAATCAGCTCTGTCACCATCACACTCCAGGCCCTAGTGAGAGACATCCCAGCAGGAGATAGTCCTCAGCCGTCAGCTTAGCTGCCCTGGATCCTGGCTCTACTTTCCAGCCCGTGAAGCCAGCACTGCCTGTCCCATCCCGGAGCAACATCTCTTATCCTCCAGTTTGGGTCTCCCTTTTTCACATTTCCAAGGAGATATATACCACAAAGTCCCCTAGTAACTGGCTCGCCAGATAGACCCTGAACAGTGTATAGATCAGACCGTGTACAGCCCACAGAGGAGGCATGAGCCCAGTGCTTAGAGCAGAGGACCATCGGGAGGCTTTGCTCCAACTGTGCAAAGCAGGAGAGGCTGTTCAGACTGTCAACACACCCATGGAAGTGAAAAATAAATAATTTATTCCTTATTACCTGAAGGCTGTATTTAAGGAACTAAAAGCCCATTACACCTCTTTTTACCATTATTTATTCACACTTCAACCAATGATTCGCGGGAGTATTGTTGTTGTTGTCGTTTTTTAAATTTCATCCTGAGGTCATTTTAATGCAACAGACCAGCACCAACAGGGCAGAGGGAAGTGCGGATGGCTGGAAGTGTGGATGGAGTGTTTCTCCACTCTCAATTGCACAAAGCCCTCACTGGCCAAGGGGTCTTGCCGAGACTTCTGCACACTTGAGGAGCATGTTCTAGGTGAAGACAAGGGGGGAGGAGGCAAGGCAGTCTACCCACTAGGAACCACTGGCTAGTCCTTCATTTACTTCATGTTTCCAACCACTCAACCAGGGTTATTGTGGAACTGTCAGGCTTCAGTGCTCACAGCCAATGCACCCACGAGGCCAAACACGGCCTAACCCTGAGCACAAGAGCTCATCAATGCCTCTGTGCTTTCTAAGATGTTCTTGAAGGGACAGTGCAAGAAATTGATCAGATCGGGTAGTTTTCAAGTGCTCCAGCTGGGGGCCCAAGGAGTCTGACATCCTGTTGCAATACAGAATAAGGAAAAGCCACCCCCCCCTTTTTTTTTTTTAAAGTTCAATGCACTTACATAAGTGCACAAAAAAAAAAAAAATTAGGAGGATTTCCCCGCCCCATACCCTCAAAGTTACATTTGGGATAAAATGGTCCAAATTCAAAGGCTCTTGCCAGTACTTGTTCATTTTTCTACAAAAATGACATTTGAAAAAATTTTCATCCCCTACAGGCTGGCCCTGAAAAGTCTAGCTGGGCCCATGTCCCCAGCTCTGGGAAGGAAAGAGGAGGATGGCAAAGGCCCTTAGCGTGGCCTGCATTCCTGGTCACTTGTGGCCATAAACCAACATCCGAGCCCAAGGTGCCAGCTCAGAGAGGGACGCATCAAACGAGGCTTGTACCCGTCACTCCCGAGGTGTTTACAGCTTCACTGGGGGAGATGCTGGCTTGCAAACACCGAATAGAGTACAGCAGAAAAACAGCATAATATGCCCTCCTGGGCTTCCTCCTCGGGTTCTCAACTTACTTCCCCTGGGAACCTTCGGACCCGCCTCAGCCACGCTTCACTCCGCGTACTCCGATCCCCTTGTACCGTAACGGACTGCAAGCAAGGCAAGGGCAGCCCCCACAACGGCTATGTGCAGCGCTAGGTCCCCGGTGCCCAACACCGCCTGTGCAGGGCTCGGTGAACGAGCCAAGGACCCAGTGCTAAACTGCAGGACCCAGGCACCAAACGCGGCAGGAATTCATAAGCGAGTAAAGCAGAGAGTTAGGAGGCCAGACTGAGGTGTGGACTACCCGGTACGTGTCAGCTACGACGAACACAGGCTGGTACCGTCAGAGGTCCATGTGGTGCTGGGCCCTGAACCCAGCTGGCAGTCGGGTCGTGGGCAGCCTCGGCAGTCGGTTTCTCTCGCAGATGCACAAGGACCCACCAACCACTGTCTAGACACCCAGCTCTTCACACCATCTGCTAGTACTGAACCTCCCCAACCCCCCCTAAAATCCAGACAACAGGCCAGAGATAGGACACTTGGCAAACACAGGATGCGACGGGGCCCCCCAGGCTTGTGACATCACACACCTCAGTCGGGAGAGGGCTCTGAGGACTCAGGGCCAGGAGTCCATCAACATTCCTTACCAAGTCGCAGCGCATGGAAGTGGGGAGGCCCCGGGCTGCAAGGAGAGGCCCTCCATCAGTAGTCTGAAGACCTAAAGCCTGCTCGCTCCTCTTGCTTGGCCCTGGCTCCATGTCAACAGCCTCCACGCAAAGGACCCTTGCCGAAGCCCTCAGCCAACAGCATTAGCAGACACGGTGGGGGGGGGGGGCGGTTAGACCCACAGGAAGGCTTTCTTGTTATCTGACAGCTGCAACCGGGTGACTTGGTTGAGCGGCACTTCTGGTCTCTCCATCCCCCCCCCCCACGTGCGCCACTGGGCTGCCACAGTGCCCCACCTGCTCCAGAGAAATCAGAATGCCCTGGGGCCTAAAGCTTCCTCCGGACCATCCATCTTCATCCTGCCCCAGTCTCTCCCTCCCTCCCTTCCTTCAGCTCCATCTTTAAGTAGGACTTAAAACTCACGGGCCACAACGACATGACGTGCATTAGCTAAATCTCTAGATCCTCATGGCGGGGACATACTGTTTATGCTGTCCAAAGTGGAATCATTTTTCAAAATAACTCCTGGAAATTCTTGTGTGCTCTGCGAAATACTATTCTACCCCATGCCTCTTCCCCCCCTCAAACGGATTTCTGTGGCAGGCAGCCTGGGGACCATTAGCCCGAGTTTATGGATTGGGTACGGACGCTCAAGGAGGTCTGGGGTAGGGTGGGGACATGCCCACATCGGAGGCAGAGCTGGGACAAGACCCCAGTTTGCATACTTAGTGCAAGCTCTTTGAATTCTGGAAGACTGCCGGCAGCACAGAGCTGGTAGAAGATGTGGTAATTCCTCTCATCGTCTGCCTGGAGGAGGAAAAAGTTGAACAGTTTTAAGGCAGTGACCCCTGCAATCATCCCCTCACTCGCTCTCATCCCAGAGTCCTGTGGGTGACACAGGTCAAGACTTGTGCTCACGTCTTCCCTCACGGCTCTACCACCTGCAACTCCCACCTCCAGATGTTCCATTCACGGTTATGCTCCTTCTTCGAGCCTGAGGACTTTTACCTCTCGCCTATTTTCTTTTTCTCCCAGAGGATCGCCTCTCCTCCACAAGTGGTGGGTTGGCCAACCAACACACACTTCAGATCTCCGTGCTGCCCAGCTCAGGTTGCACAGACTGTGACTTGCCTGTGGTAGGCTCCCTTTCTCCTCTGGGAGGCTTGCACCTAGTCAGAGCTCTGCCCTTGCCCATCACGTCAGGCTGGGGCAGTCACTAAAGGTCCTAGACAGAGGCAGGACTTATGGCGGACATTCGGGCTACACCTGCCTTAAACTGGCAGAGTGGTGGTGTTGGGGAGTGGGGGGTCAGGAGGCCTGAGCAAAGGAAGAGGAAGGCTTGAGGGGTGTTCAGAGAAGACTCTGGCCAGAGCCACAAGCAGCTGTGACCTGCACCCAGCACAGCAGGCTGTTTCCTTTGCTGCCAGGATATAAGGATTTGGGGCTGTCAAAACAATTTGGGAGGTGGGGAGAAAGCCTGAACAGAAAAAGGGAACAACTAAAAAAGCTGGCTAAAAAATCCATTAGAGGGCTGTTAAGCATCAGCACGCTGATGGGCGTCTCTGAGAAGCAGCCGAGGCTGTTCTGGATGTCCCCTTTGAAGGCAGCTGAGTGCCAGGGTGGGAAGGACGTGCGCCATCTCGGGTCAGGGAGGGGACACTGAAAGGGGGCTGGGGGAGGACTGTTCTCAGGCTAAGTAGATGGCCAAGTAGTGTGTTTTGTGTTTTTTGTTTAAATATAACCTACAAAGTAAGAAGGTTCCTGGGGAAGCTGAAGCCCAGAACATTCCCCTAATCCTAAGACTCTCAAATCCAAGAGGAACAGGACTATCTTCTTCTTCCCTGTATCTCTGGTATCGAGCACAGGGCTAGTACATAACAGGCATTCATTAGGTTTGTTGATTGAATCTAAAAACAACACCCACCTGGGAAGATTTCTCGGGTCTAACGCCCATAGCATTCACACGAATACTCTTTGATGTAAGGAAAGAAAGCCAAAAGAACAAGTGTATCCAAGAGATGAGATGCTCTCCGGGCACAGGGAGTGGGTCAGGGAGCAAGTGAGCATCACTCGTGGGGGAAAAAGTAGAAAAGGGCCCAACTCGTACCACTCACCTGAAAGACCACTCTGGACTTCTCCAGCAGGTAGGTCCTCATGTTGGCCCCAATGATGTGGTACTGCTTATCAAAGCCAATCTGAATATACTTTCCAAATCGGCTGCTGTTGTCATTGCGAGTGGTTTTGGCATTTCCGATGGCCTGCACAGAACACACAAGAGGTATGCAAAACCAGGAAAGCTTTCTTGAGTTCTAGGTGGTATGTGTGTGGTAGCAGCTCCATGTCCTCTCTCTCCTCTTCCTTACAGAACCTCCCCCTCTGTTGGGATGGCAATGAGCAGAGCTAAAAATAAAACCTCATTTCCTGCCTCCTTTGCTCCGAAGGATGGCCAGTGAGAGCAAGGAGTTGACTGGGGGACTCTTTCCAGATCCTTCCTGGAATGCGTGTGGTGATGGCTACAGCTGTAGCAGTCACCTTGGGACCATGAAGGAAAGGTCTGGAGAATCACAGAGCTCACCACTCTGACACACTTGAGCTACTAAACCAACGCCAGTATCTGAGAGCTCTGAACTTTTGGTGAGAAAAGCAAACGTTCCTGTGCTTTGATCAGATCTCCACGACTAAGCAGTCAAACGTCATTCCCATCTGATAAATGGTATTTCTGAGAAAGAGACCAAAGATCAACACCAACCCCTCTACACCTCATCACTAGATCCTATCAGGAAGACCTCACCCTCTGGATACCATTTCTCATGCAGCTGTAGGGGCACAGTTCAAAACACCCGATGAGAATTTAAAAGTGAGGGACTAAATGGCCTGGGATGATTATTCACTTTCTATAAAGCATCACATTACTAATGGATCAGTAATGAATATATTAGTATTTTAATCCCTTTTACATTTTTTTTGGTTGCTAAAACACTTGAAAAATGTCTACTATACATTTTCAGTGGTCTACGAAATTTGAGGGACAAAGAGGTTGAAAGAAAATCCAAAATCCAGACTGACCCCCTACCCCTTCTCAGCCACATCCAAGCCACGGAGCTACTAATGTCCCAAAACTACGTAAGGCTCAGCTGGCATCTGTTATTAACAAGGCAAACAGGGCAGCTGAAAGCAAATCCCTACTGTTTAAAAGGTCACAATGACAAATACTCATGAAAATGTCCCACTCCTATTTTTGAGAGGAGGCAGGTGAGGCCTTGAGTCATGCAAGCGTTCACTCACAGAAACCTAAGCCTAGCTCTGCACTATAGAAGCTCTTCAGTCCGGGATCACCTGCATTCTACACGTCCACTCCCCATCGAAGTCCACCCACTGGGATGTCCCAAATGGGTGCCAAAAATCCAACCTTAATTTAATCAAGCTTCTGAATTTTACTGCCCTTTCACAGGAAACAGAGGACAAAGGAATATGTTCTCAACATCGTGAAGATGCAAAGTCCAGTTTGTGGAACATTCTCAAAGACCATCTAGTTTCAACAAATACACTTCAATGTATTTTCAATGTACATTTCAAAATACTCAAATTCCATAATTTGTAAAATGGCAACAAGAGCCTTTGCCATACCTGACACCACTCCTTGTGATGGCTTAGGGGAAAGCTTTCCCCAGGTCTAAAGATCACAGTTGAAAGGTCTCTCCTCCTTACCTCACTAGGCTGCTTTGAGAAGTGACAGATCTAGAAGTACTTTAAAAGTATGTAATGGCACCCACAAAGAAAAGAGGTTATTACTACTCAACCCATCAACTCTACCCTAAGACTCCCAACTCCTGTGTGTAAAGGACTCACGTGCAATTCTTCATCTTTTAAACACTTGCTAATTTTTTTTCTGGTTACCCACGGACTCAGGAAATGTTTTGATGAGTTATTATAGATGAGAAAAGAAAAACAGGTTTTAACCTTCACTGGGTCCCACAGATCAAGAAAAAAAGCAGAAATGATGCGAGTGGTTACAACGTGGAAAACGAGCAAATGCTATGAACAGGAAATTCACAGCAGAAACTCATATGACCAATAAGCGTTAAGAAAAGATAATCTCCTTTCTGCTCGTGGACGCCGCCGAGTAAGCATCGTTAAAGTCTCCCCTCCCACCGCCGTCATATCTAAGTCAGAGTCTCCCAAAGAGCCTGAACAGCTGCGGAAGCTCTTCATCGGAGGTTTGAGCTTTGAAACAACCGATGAGAGTTTGAGGAGCCATTTTGAGCAATGGGGAACGCTTACGGACTGTGTGGTAATGAGAGATCCAAACACCAAGCGCTCCAGAGGCTTTGGCTTTGTCACGTATGCCACTGTGGAGGAGGTGGATGCAGCCATGAACGCAAGGCCACACAAGGTGGATGGGAGAGTTGTGGAACCAAAGAGGGCTGTCTCAAGAGAAGATTCTCAAAGACCTGGTGCCCCCTTAACTGTGAAAAAGATTTTTGTTGGTGGCATTAAAGAAGACACTGAAGATCATCATCTAAGAGATTATTTTGAACAGTATGGGAAAATTGAAGTGATCGAGATCATGACTGACCGGGGCAGTGGCAAAAAGAGAGGTTTTGCTTTTGTAACATTTGATGACCATAACTCTGTAGACAAGATTGTCATTCAAAAATCCCATACTGTGAATGGCCACAACTGTGAAGTAAGGAAAGCCCTATCTAAGCAAGAGATGGCTAGTGCTTCACCCAGCCAAAGAGGTCGAAGTGGTTCTGGAAACTTTGGTGGTGGTCGTGGAGGTGGTTTTGGTGGGAATGACAACTTTGGTCGTGGAGGGAACTTCAGTGGTCGAGGTGGCTTTGGTGGCAGTCGAGGTGGTGGTGGATATGGTGGCCGTGGGGATGGCTATAACGGATTTGGTAATGATGGAAGCAACTTTGGAGGTGGCGGAAGCTATAATGATTTTGGCAATTACAACAATAATCAATCCTCAAATTTTGGACCCATGAAAGGAGGAGATTTTGGAGGCAGAAGCTCTGGCCCCTATGGTGGTGGAGGCCAATACTTTGCCAAACCACGAAACCAAGGTGGCTATGGTGGTTCCAGCAGCAGCAGTAGCTAGGGCAGTGGCAGAAGGTTTTAATTACTGCCAGGAAACAAAGCTTAGCAGGAGAGGAGAGCCAGAGAAGTGACAGGGAAGCTACAGGTTACAACAGATTTGTGAACTCAGCCAAGCACAGTGGTGGCAGGGCCTAGCTGCTACAAAGACGACATGTTTTAGACAATACTCATGTGTATGGGCAAAAAAACTCGAGGACTGTATTTGTGACTAATTGTATAACAGGTTATTTTAGTTTCTGTTCTGTGGAAAGTGTAAAGCATTCCAACAAAGGGTTTTGATTTTTTTTTTTTTGCACCCATGCTGTTGATTGCTAAACGTAATAGTCTGATCATGACACTGAATAAATGTGTTTTTAAAAAAAAAAAAGAAAAGAAAAGATAACCTCAGTGGACATCAGAGAACCACAGACTAAAATGGCAGTCCAGAGGGGCTATAACTAAGAACTCGGACACTACAAAATGAGGAGGATATGAGGACAAAGAAACTCTCCTATGTTGCTGGCTCAAATGGGAACCAGAACCACCATTCTGAAAAGTACTGGACCTATCTAGTAACACTGAATACACATGCACCTAACGGTTCAGCAACTCTATTTCTAGACATTACCTGGAAAAATATGTAAGTGTAGCCATAAGTAAGCACAAGAATGTTTGGTGCAGGTTGTATTTAGCAATAAAAAAAGAAATCCATCCTAAATGCCCACCAGTAGGGAAATGGATCAAGTGTAGTGTACTCACACAATGGGATACTATAAAGCTGGTATAAGTAAACTAGAACATGATTCGTGGGTAAGTTTAAAAGATGTTGAGTGAAAGAGTTGCAAAATGACAAAATATGCTACCATTCACAGAGGACATAAGAGAACCACCTTCTTTGTTGTTTATGCATATGCAAATACGTAGGAAGATCAAATGGGCTGGAATAATTTCAGTATAATTAGGAGTATACAACAGTGAGGGACATATCAATACGTGGAAGCACAGAGCAGGACAATTAGCCCTGCCGAGCACAACAGGGATGGCTTGAAGGAGCGTAAACTGACAAGGGTCTTAAAGGCTGAGTAGAGTTTTGCTAGTGAGGAGGGGGAGGGGTTCTAGTTATGGACATGGCCTGGGTCAAGGGACAGGACATGTGAGTGTGTGGAGTGGCCAGAGTGTGCTGGCACACGAGACAAGAGATGGGCTGAGTTACTCTGGGCACAGACTCTCGTATGAATAGGTTAATAGTTGCAGGCCTTGTTTCTTTAGCTTAAAAGGAAAAAAGTTAAATACCCCAAATTACATAGTAACCGGTCTCAGTTTAGATTGCTTTTGCCCACTGTACCTCCGGTCTCCCCTATCTCCCAGGATGGGGGCAGTCCCTAGCTCCCGGACTTGTGTGCTGCAGACTCTGGGCACCACAAGAAGCTCCGTGACCCATCTGGCCCAGACTTGGTTCTGCCCCTCCTCTAACAGTCTCTTGATTACCAATATCCTTTAATCAGTGCAGACTTGTGAACAAATCACCCCCGGGATGCTGGCAAGCTCTTATACAGAACAGGGTCAGACAGCTCTGGTGCTGAGAATAAATCATCCCAATCCACCCTCAAGTCACCTTTAATTCAAACCACTGTCACTTAGCACAGGTCGCTGGGGATTCCACTGCCTCGGACCGTCCTCGACTCTGTCTCCCCAGGAGGCGGCCACAGAAATAATGAGATGGTGCAGGAGCAGAGCTGACTGCTTGGTTGGGAGGTGCCAATCTGCGCTGGGACAGAGGCAGAGTTATCAGGAATTGGTTGGCCCCTGATGAAGACGGGCCGTGTGTTGCCTCTGACCCTCTGAGGAACCACAAAGCTGACGGGGCTTCCTGACACAAGGGCCCACCTGGACTCTTGTGAACAGTCAGGTGTTAGCAGTGCAGAAGCTGCTCTTTCTCGGCCCAGCAACACTTTCTAACTTGCCCAGAGTCCTTCCTGGCTACAATTCTTCCTTTCCATATTTCTCTCCAAGATTTCTCTCAAATAGAACACTTAAAAACTCAAGGGACAGTCTCCATGATGACCAAATTCTGTCAGTTGACAGAATGAGCCCTAGGGAATTACCCATATTGTTTCCAAAGTAGCAATTTGCACAAGGTAGAAATTGAATATTGTGAGCCCAAACCACTGCACCATTTATTTACGTGACATCACGCATTGAGGAGGCTGCTCCGTGTACACACTCCTCCTTTAGACCTTAGCAACTGAACCACATCTCGTGGGTTTCTCGGTGTGCATGGTGCTCTCCCATTTCTCCCATGCCAAAGTACTCGGAATCCCCAGCAGTGCACCAGCCCATTCAGGACATAAGAGATACTGACAATGTTAGGTTATTTTAGACCACTATCATTTAAAAACCATTCCCCAGGCAGGGACTCGGATGCTTGCATGCCATTGTTCAGTGGCATTATTCATACTAGCCAAGAGGAAACCCAAGTAGTTCATCAACAGTGGGATGGATTAACAAAATGTGGTATTATCCAAACAATATCATCCAACCATAAAAAGGAAGAGGGTACTCCTCCATTCTACAACACGGATGAACTTCAAAAACACTAAGTAAGTCAGACACAAAAGAATAAATACTGTATGATTCCACTTATATGAGGTGCCTAGAACAGGCAAATTCATGGAGACAGAAAGTAGCAAAGAGGTTACGAGGGTCTGGTGAGGAAGAATAGGGAGTTATTCTTTAATGCGTACAGTTTGGGATGATTAAAGAGTTCTAGAAATGGATGGTGGTGATGGTTGCCTAACACTGAATGTCCTTAATACCCTTCAATTGTTCATTTAAAATACTGAAAATGGTAAATTTTATGTATGTTTAACAACAATTAAATCAATTAAAAAGTCTTCCTGTGTCTCGTACATGTTTAATAATGGGGTGATCTACCTTCATTAAATTCTCACCTTAGCTAAAATTACTTTGTCCAGGCACCAGAGATGTAACAGATTTCTTCCCTTATCTGTTTTGCCCAGAAAAATTACCTCCTCTACTTCTAAAAGTAGCAGCACTCTGGGTCTTTGAAACCTTATTACCTTAAAAATGAACTGGGTCTTTGAAACATTACCTTAAAAATGAACTGAGTTTTGAAACTCAGGGGCAAAGGAGAGGCTGAAAGCCTGGTTTCACTCCCATTCGAGATGAAACATGATGCTAATCATAGAGTACAATCTTAGTGCCTTGATTTAGGTGCACAGATGGTCCCGGGTAGGCCAGGCCATAGTCCACCATCACATTCTGAATCAAGGCCATGGCCAGGCCCCCACCTTGGGTTTAGAATACATGCTATGAACAAACGGGCCACTAACTAGTTGCAGGTCTGACAATATTAATATGTTTGCAGCCAATAAGGCAGTTCATAAAAGAGCTCAATGATACGGAGATAAGGCTTATTACTATTATATTCAGTGAAAAAACTATAAGGAAACATACTTAATGTGGAGGAATTATCAGCAGGCTGTAGAAAGGCAAATTTGGGGGCCCCCTACCCAGACCTTCTGAATCAGCAACTCTGGAGGGGTAGGGTCCAGCAATCTGGGTTAAACAGGCCCGCCAGGTGACTCTAATGCACTCAAGTTTAAGAACCATTGTAAGAGAATGAAAGTCTTTTTGTTCATATCTTTTTGGTAAAAATGCCTCCAACTGTACGGCCCATTTTCCAATTTGCTTTTGTTGAACTGTTAATATGTTATGTCCTGTTAGTCAACAGAGAATCAAAGTTCTCCAGATAATCCAACTGTGTAGGCAGATTATACCCACAAAAGCAATGAATTCCTATGAACTGAGACTCCGTATTCAGTCGTGCAATGTGGTAAAGGGGGGGGCGGGGAGGGGATCTAGGAAGGTCCAGGCAGGTTCTTGTTTCCCCCAGCTCCAAAACAATCTGAGAGATTAACCACCTCGGTGACTTGGGTCTTAATCGATGCGGCTCAAGGCATTGCAGAGAAATCTGATACTATCTTGGCAGCTTTTGGCCTCAACTCAATTTCTTCTTCCTAAAACCAAGGAGCTGCCCTGGGCTAGCGGGGGTCTGATTCCCACCAGACTGCAACCCAGACGATAATCAAGAGCCTCTACTTCAGAGGCAGGCAATCAAAGCTGGCCCAGGGACTGCACACCCATTTAGATCTACTTTATCAGAATTAAGTGTTTATGGAGGAAAGAGAGAGAAAGAGAGAAATAGAGTTCTGACCCTAAAACATGGGGAGTTACAGCAAGACCGAAGTTTTAGGAAGTCTCTCTGGCCCTGTACCTGTACTGACTGAGCTGAGGCTGGGGAGTCGAGGTACAGACGGAATGCCCTGGCCAGTTCATGCCATCACAGGTAACTGCTTCCTGACGAGCAACAGATTCTGTGTTATCACAGAGCTTTTGGCTCTACCTTCCCCCCTCCCCATAAAATAAAATGTTCAGCTCTACCTAGCCTCCCTCGCCCATGCACATTGCCTTCCTGATGCAGCAGGCCCTCAAAGCCCCGGACGGTTTGGGCGAAGTGCGGATTTGCTGACACACGATGGCAGCAGGGGAGGGAAGAGCAGGAGAAGTGGAGGCAGAATGGAGGATGCTCACTAGAGCATTCAGCAGAGTCCAGGGATAAGGACGGCATGAAGAGGACACTCCACTCGGTACTGGGGCCCTGAAGGATGCTACCAGGTGAGATTACTCCCAAACCTGTGGTCTTAGGGGCACCTTTGGCATTTCTTCCTTACCAGGAGACAAGGGGCTCTGCAAGAAAGGCATGAATGTGCTTCCAGGGACTCTAGTGAGCAACCGCACGAGGACGGCCAGCCGGCAGTCTGGCTGCCAGAGGAAGGAACTCTAGCCAGAAAGGCCAAGTGTGTTTGGAAGGCTTTACCTCCATGATGGGACTGGACGCCAGGACCTTCTCTTCGATGTTGGTGTCACTGGCTGAGCCACTCACTGTGGCAAAATAGCGCATGGCATACTTGGCTGACACGGTCTTGCCGGCTCCAGATTCCCCACTGACGATGATGGACTGGTTCTTCTCATCTCTGGAAGGGAAAAAGCTCTGGTCAGTGGCTGGCCGTGGAAAGGCTCTGTTGCCTCCCAGAGACTCTGTTGACAAAGCCCTGAGCTCGATCAAGGTCATCTCATCTTCTTTGAAGGATAAATATGAGGAACAGTGTTAAGATAGTCTGCTCTCCCTCCCATGCTTGCGTAAGAGCCACAAGCAGGAGAAAGGAGAGTTCAGAAAAGGGCTTACCAACAGCACACACCCTTCGTAAGGGCCCTCAGGAAGGGAGATGTGGCCAGTTGGTCATGATTACACATCCTCCCTGGATGCAGCATCCCCCCAACCTGTTTCTCTATGTACGTGTATATATACACATACACATCCTGAAATTTTACATATATGCCCCTTCAGGTGCATATTCTCACCTTTGATTCTGTGGCATGCCCATCCTGTACCACTGCGTGAGTTACAATTTTTCAAAAACAAGGATCTTTTCCTCTCGTGTTTGAGCCTAGCGTGCCACTAGAGTTTTGAATTTCTTGTTCATATAGGTCATAAAAGGCATGCTATTAACCACCAGACTGATCTTGCTTCCTTTATCAGAACAGCTATCAATTGCAGTAAGAGGGATTTCAGTAAGACTAAACGGAAGGCCGAAAGAAGATACTCTACACCAGATAAAAATGCATCTATATTTATCCCTTTAGAATAGATAGCAGAATGACGGACAGGTAATGCAGAGAGCAGCCTATCAGATCTCTAAGGAACATGCGTGTGCAAGCACAAGGCACGAACAAATGTGTGGGCCACAGATTTGGCAAATGAATTGCTTGTAAGGGCTATAGTCGGCTACATCCAGCTCGCAGATCCACGGCCGGGAAGGCAGGCACTCTGCTCTCAATCTCCAGTCCCTCTAACAGTGCATGGCACAAAATGCATGCTCCTAGGGATTAACCGGAAACCCCCCTTCCTAGGAGCGTGGAAGTGGGTTTATAACACAGGCCTCCTGTCATCGGCCCACTACCTACACCAGTTCCTGGGGCTTCCTGGGCAGAGCAGGCCACGGCAGAATGAACAGGGAAGCCACCGCAGGCTGCCTGCCCCACCTTGCTAATTATCCACACAGGTAGACTGTGGCTTTCTCAGCACAGGAGTACGAATGCTGGCCTTTTTTTTTTTTTTTTTTTT